ATATACGATTATGTATGTTAATTTGATAAAGGTTTAAAATGAAGATTTAAAAGTAAAGGACGTAAAGTAAATTAATTAATTAATTATAGGGATATAAAGTGTAAATTTAAAATTATAATTTAAAAAAAATTGGTTGTAAGAGGGTGAGTGTATGTGAGGAGAAGAGGGGGTGAAAAGGTGAAAAAGTGAGTATAAAGGGTATTTTGGTCATTTAGAATTTTAAGACTTTAAGATTTTTGTTAAATTTGCTTAATAAGATAGTATATGTATATGTATATGTATATGTATATGTATATGTATATGTACAAATTACTAAGGCTGTCTTCATATCAGTACACATGCAAACAAATTTTGTTTTAAGGTTAACCACTAATCAAACCAAAGGTAGTGTAGTTAACCACAAACTGAGGTTAACTGAACAGCTAAATTACCCTTAGTCTTCAATTCATTCATCTGATCATTTGGCTTAACATCTGTATTAATTGACAAGGTTAATGATCAGATTTTCTGGTGCCGCACTAGTGATGTATCCTGTTGTACAGTTTGATCAAGGTATTAAATTGCTCCTATATATATAGGAGCTTTCAGTGTGTGAGGTTGCTCAATTGTAAATTAAAACCCTTTACCAAAATGAGCGTATATATGGCGTTTCTGTCAAGTTCTCAATTACACCAGTTTAATTATTAGATTTTGAATGTTAAATATTATGCTTTTAAGGGGTAACTTTTATTGAAATTTTTCCAAAAAATAAGTTACATTTGATCAGTAAAACCTATATTCACAGTGCAGTATGCATGCCTTACCTCCAACAATCCTCATACCCTTCTTTAATTTACTTGTGAATAGGATACAAAGTTCATGAACTTATGGTGTGCAAGCCCACAAACCACGACTTTAAAGATTCGGTTCATGACTCACTGTGAATTTCGCTCACACGGTCAGCCTGATCTGCAAATATGACTTCCTTTTTCAAGCTCGCGATCGAATACTTTAGTATATATCTTTGACAGGTGACACCAACGCGCACCGCCACATCTGTCTCTCTCATATGTCATCTTGCCTAGCAATGACAAAACGCATTGCATATGCCTCCTCATCAACCTTCATCGATCATATATCCTTTTCATTAATTTCTCCACCTCTTCCATTCTTAATATTAATTTCCCTTGTTCCTAAATCACATACACTACTAGCTTAGCTCGTATCAGAAGAAATTGATCATTTTATATGATTAAAGAATGGGGAGAGTGAAATTGCAAATCAAGAAAATAGAAAATACAACAAATAGACAGGTTACTTTCTCAAAAAGAAGAAATGGGCTCATCAAGAAAGCTTATGAACTATCTGTTCTATGTGATGTCGATGTTGCTCTCATCATGTTTTCCCCCTCTGGAAGAGCTAGCATTTTCTCCGGAAACAGAAGGTAAATCTAGAATTGATTCAAGATCTCGATTGATTCGTATTATTTAATTTGAGTAAATTAATTATGCAAATTATTTTGATTTCTTAAATTTTCTTTTGGGCATATATATAGCATCGAAGAAATTATGGCACGATACATAAATCTCCCAGAGCATGAAAGAGGAAGGTACAAATAAGTTATAAGTTGGATCATTATCTTATTTTCGTAGATTTAATTGGTATATATTAGAATGATTTTACTTATAATCTTAACTTTTATTTGATTGTGGTTTGTTCACATATCTTGTAATATATATTTCTTTTGGGATCCATCTTGATGCATCCACAACTATTTGAAGGTTGCAGAACCAAGAGGTACAGTACCCATTTTTACTCCTATATATATATATATATGTTCCCTTACTTACATACATACACACACACACACGCATATATATATATATATATATATATGTGTATATATATATATCGTAAATCAAGTACTACAACATTCACATAGATCATGTGTGCGATCAAAGTATATAGAAATATATGCTCAAATTATATATCTTTATTTGTTTTTGCAGTACCTGGAAAGGGCTTTGGGTAGGTTGAAAGGTGAAGCTCAAGATCATCATATTCAGAACCATGCCAGGTTTATTCCTCTTTTCTAAAATTTCAATTCCGTACATCTATCTATCTCTTTTCATTTATTTATTTATTTATTATTTGGGGGTATTTCAATTTAATTCCGATGCTGTGTTTCTTTTAAAGCCATATAACTCTACTAGTTTGTTTCATTTGATTTTGAAAGCAGCCCAGCAAGTGGTGATTCACAACTTGAGGTATGTCCTATTGTACCAATCATATATATATATATATATATATACACACACACACATACACACAGACAGATATGCATATATGTGTGTGTATATATAACTTGATGCTGATTATTTCTTAATTTGTTACAGGAAATTCAACAAGAAATCATCCGTTGCAAGTCCCAATTGCTAGAAATGGAGAAACGGCTCAGGTATGGTCTTTGATTTATTTGAATATATCATTCTTATATTCCAACCCCACAACCACCGTGTTTTTGTGTGTGTAAATTAATGTGAGCGTCTAAATTAGCTTAGCTTGTACTCACCGACTAACCTCATTGACCTTGAAGATAAGAGTCGGAATTAAATTACTTATAATGAATCAACTCATATATATATATATATATATATATATATATATAGCTTGATCAAAACCGATCTTATCATATCGAATTTGTTTTTACCACTCGCGCAATCTCGTTTCTAATACAAATACATGTTGTTAGTAGTAGAAGTGTATTTATGGATCCAACAAAATGTAGAATTTAATGGTAAACTGAAAATTGAATTATTTTGGAATAATTTAAGTGAGATAGCTAGCTAGATTTCCAAATATTTTATTATTTTTTGTGTTGATTGACCTCGTATTTAAGAAAAATAGTAGAGGTTTCCAAATCTTTGTTGTTAAATTTAAAGAAGGGAAAAATAGAAATAATTGAAAGCTTTTGTATGTATTAATAATCTTTACTTAATATTTTGTAAGTTCCTTGAAAAATGAATAAAAACCTAAATGCTTTATAATATGGACTCGATGGAAAAAATGAGATCTCTTCTTATGCACTCGTTGAAAATGATTCTAATCTAGTTCGTGGCCTATTAGAAATAGAAGGCGCTATACGGACATCGACATTGCTTCTTATGCACTCGTTGAGAATGATTCTAATCCCTTAGATATGATGCAAAATGGATCTTGTTCTATCGTTGATCAAATATTTCTCTATGAAAACAACGATAGCATATAAATAGATAGATAATAATGTTGAAATTTTGTTTAAAGTTTTTATGATTCTGATCAATATGCTATGTGTGTGTGTATATATATATATATATATATAATATACGTTTKTGTGTGTGTTTTCATAGGATATTTGAAGGAAATCCTTCTGAAATCACCACAATGTGTGAAGCTGAGTATCGAGAACAAATCCTGGAGGAGACTTTGAAACATGTTCGTGTGCGCAAGGTATACAATTAATAGTCGTCGTTTGACTCTTCATTCAAATACATATTTCATAATTAATGAAGAGAAAATTAATGTGATATYTTTGGAGAACTGATTAGCAAGTTCTGGAGAAGTACAACAGCTCAATGGAGGTTCAATCAACTTCACAGGTATGTCTGTATGATCAACCCACCAGAAAGAAGAAATCAAATGAACAACGATATGATACACACACACACACACACTGTTCATCAATTTCCTGTTGGGTTTTAATTACACAACACAGGTAGCTTTACCTCAAGAGGCAATAAATGTTAATAACATGGTTACAACCAACCCAAGCTGCATACTGGATTGGCTTCCACCAAGAGATCAGCAAGTTCAAATCATGAATTTTATGAACTTCAATGGGCTTCTTCCCCAAAGGTAACTATGAATACATATATGTATTGCTGAACAACAAAAGTTACCCTAACAAAACTGATTTTATAGGATATCATATTACTGAATCAAAGTTTATATACCAAACAATTATGCGTCCTAAATAAATGTCAACYTTTTAAGTTTACAAAACAATATATTATGACATTCAAACATCTTTGGCTTTTGTTGTAGTGTGTAAACCCAATATTTCTGTGGAAACTTCTACTTCCTGCACATATTGATTGATACTACCTTCTTGCAAAACCTGCAACGCTTTTGTGCAGGCAAAATGAGCATGTGAACCGTGCGATGGAGGATGGTAATACGGCCAATGTTCAACGACCTGAATTTGGACAAGTTATCGATATGAACCTTTCTCCTTGGACACAATTCTATCCCACCGGTATGCTTGTTACACTTCTTTTTATTGTTACTCCAACAAAATTGGGTTTATATATACGATGCAAAAATTGTTTTTAAGTGTCCGAGTTAAATTCATAGAACCAAACATTAAACAAGTTTTAAGACAATTTTAAAATAAATGCCCGTATTAACTTTTCTATACGATGTTTTGGAGAAGTTTCCTATAAACACATCTTTATATATCATGTTTATTTTCATAAGATACTTTTTCAAATAATATCATACAAAAAATTACTAGGATGCTTTATCTTTTAAGTGGTTTAAAAAACTTGTTAAAGACTCCAAATAACGTCCCTTAATTATTGTAACACTTTTACATATAGCCCCCGACTTTTTATCCTATAAAACAATTTATTATGACACTAACACATTTTTTACATCCTATAAAACCGAATTTGATGTTGTGTAAATAGTCAGATTGAAACCCATATATATACACACACATATGATGGTACTATTTTTGACAAGAAGAAGTTGGCATGCAGGAGACTGGAACGATTTTGCGTTACAGTAACAGTGTAGGGTGTTGTCTTTGACAGGAAATGGTCCGATGGTGATGGCACACCCTGGAGAATGGCCATTTACTGAGATTTTCCTTCCGTATGATCAAACCTAATATTCCTTGTCTATCTTTTTAAATTCCGTTGTAGGATGATGAACTTAAAAGATGCAATATTGTTGATAAGTAATAAGCTACCTCAATAGTTATATGGCTCTTAATTTGAAAATATTTTTTATTATTAACTTGGATATCCAACTTACTATTCGAGTTGACTGATGCCAGGATGACCCTGCTAGTCACCGTATTTGAAACTCCGTGGTCATAAAGGGACCTTGAATTTGAGTCGGACACTTTTGACTTTTGAATTCTAAGTTCAAACCAATCGGAGACCACCCTTATGAATCGATATCTTCCTAAAAGATAAATACCATCTTCATGATTTCATCACATCTTTAATTTCTCTAACAAGAAGTGAATATGTGGATCCTAGAAGGCTAGAAACTAAATGTTAAAAGAGACCAATAAACCAATAAGATAATGATAACAACCAAGAAATGATTTAAGGATATATTAGTGATTATGGGTTCTAGTCCAACTCTTGACATAATGTATGCATCGTTCATTTGGTTTGTCATGTCTAAATCTGTTACGCTAGCAATAGTTGTAGAAAAAGGTTTTTCAACAAGTATGAAAAAATATTCAATAATAATTATCTATCATATCTTTTGCAATCGACAACATCACCAATCCTTTCCACCATCAGATATACTATGATAAATCTACATTCCGTGTATGAATTGACATCCTTTACGTCCCAAAGGTGATTGTGCGAAGTAACATTTTTTTTATTAACCTGGATATCCAACCCATTATGTGAGTCGACTAATCGCAGGCGACCACCTGCTTTACAGATAGCCCGGAGTCACTGCATTTGAACCTCCATGGCCATAAGGGGATTTTTATTCCTCCTTGGATTTGAACCTAGGACCTCAAAGTACTTTTGATCTTTGGAGCCAAGATCAAACTAATCAAATACTTTTGACCGAAGTAACAATTTGTGTTAAACAAATAGGGTTTCTGTTTCATACCCCATGGAACGTTTTTTTGTATCACCTTTTTTTATAAATTTATTGGGTTGAAAAACTTGTTCATAGTCAATCAGAATCACAAGTACGACTTGTATCTTCTTCTGAAACCATGGCATGACTACTTGATCAACCTTACCCTCCCTCTCCACACTTAGAGGTTGTTTGGCAGTTGCTGAATAGTTTTATGCAGAATCATTAAGTGGTCAGAATGATTAAAAAACTCTCATAATATTGTGCAAAATAAAATATAATTGTTTGGTAATTGTTTACAATGAAATTAGGGCTCTTAATGGTTAAGAGATGTCCATGATACAAAATCATTCAAAGGGTTTTAGAACCATTGTAATATTCGGTTTATGTATTTTAAGAGTTTTAGAATTATTTTTTTGCATGAATCTTAGTATGAAGGGTGATTGGTGTGTGTGTGTGTGGAGTTAAATGAGTTGTTTATTTTGGAGGCGGTCATACACTTGCTATATATAGTAAGTGTATGAGAAAGGAAAGTCTTATTGGACTTTTAGAAAGTTTTCTTTGGGAAAATTAGAGAAAATTTGAAAGAATCAGAATCCATAAACCGGCCAACTTCATTCCAAGGTGAGTGTAGATTGCTTTGTATATTAGACTGATATATACATTGTTAGTAGAATAATCTGTACTAAATTCCTTTATACAAGTATTGACCAGATTCAATGTTAAATCGGACGGGTGTTGTCCGGATTCAACCTAAACCGGACGAGAGTTGACCGGATATAACCTAAACCGGACAAGTATCAATCGGATATTTACTAAACCGAACAGATGCATCATTTGACATTCAACTAAATCGCTTAAGGGATAGCCGGTTTAAAGTTAAACCGCTCCTATGTTAACCAATTTAGAGCTAAACCGCTCAAGCCACGTCCGATTTATCCTCTTTTTATTCTAAGTAATTATCCGGATTTCATATCCGGACAATGATGACCAGACTTCAAATCCGGCTAATGTTGCTTGAATTTCACTATCAGTTTTGGTTTGAATTTGAAAACCAAGAGAGATGTAATGGCGGTGTAACCGCGACGGAGATGTAATGGCGGTGTAACCGCGAGGGAGATGTAATGGCGGTATAACCGCGAGAGAGATGTAATGGCGGTGTAATCGCGAGAGAGAGATGTAATGGTGGTGTAACCTCAAGAAAGATGAAATGACGGTGTAACCGCGAGAGAGGAAAATAATTTGTATCAAATATATATAAAATGTTTGTGTTTGTACAAGTTTGATTATAAACTAATAGTTTCGAATGTTAGTTATTTATATGTAATTGGTACACTCACTGGACCTTTTGGGTCTAATGCTCAGTTGTTAGACTAACATGTTTTGTAGGTCATCATACATCACATGATAAAGGCAAGGGGAAAGTTTGAAAGATGATATTTAGATGCATTTAAATGTATTTAACAAAGTTTTTTGTTAGTCCATGTTTTGTAAACAATATTACAATATGTCTTATGAATGTGATTATGTGAATTGTATGTATGTGGAAATTGTGAGTTGTTACAGTTGGTATCAGAGCCTTAGTTTAAGGGATCTGGGTATTTGTGAAATACTTAGACTTAAACTAGAGATGTAGAAGTTATGATAATAGGTTTCACTGGGACTATGAACATGGGAATATGTTATAACTGAACCTATTATGAGAAAGATAGATTACATATTACTGATATAATCTTGAGTTATGGATAGACTTGAGGATAAACGTGTTATTATGTTTTGATTATGTAAATAATCATATATGTTTAAATATGACAGAAAGAGACGTACAACTGAGAAATGGCAGATAATCCTAATCAATCAGAAAGGACCTCTACCGGTTATGGAAGTGGTCGGGGAAGAAGAAATGTAACCCAAGAAGAAGTCCCGGAAAATGTAATGACAATAGAAACGCGAAGTCGCAGCAGGGGTCGAAGAAGAGGGAGAAGTACTAGACAAGAAACTCATATAGAACAGGAATTGTCAGCACAAGAAAGTTCAATGTCCGGTCGTGGAAGAGGAAGAGCAAGGGGTGGACACAATGTTCCTGATCCCGGTTTTATTACCCAGGAAATGCTGGCAGCTGAGTTGGGAAAATTCCAAGAAAGCTTGGTGAATTTGTTGGGGCGTACGACACAATATAATCCAGAAATAGTAAGGGATCCTGAACATCAGGAAGAAGCCAGAGCTAGTACACCGGTAATTGGTACATATGTACCCCTTACTTCGTCTTCCGTTCATAAATGAGGGGATATCAAAATGTTTCTTGCCTGTAAACCTCCTAAATTTTCTTGGGAGCGTGACCCTGTTAAAGCCATGTGTTGGCTTAAAGAAATTGAACTAAGTCTGTAGATTAGTAAAAGTGCAGAAGAAGACAAAGTTATGTTTGCTGTATCCCGATTGAGGTCAAGTGCTTTGTACTGGTRGGAAGTTCTGTCAAGTTCGGATCCAAACATTCTGAAAACCATGTTACGGGAAGAATTTGTGATCAAGTTTAAGATGCAATATTGTCCTGAAGCGGCAGTATGGAAACTAGAAGATGATTTCCTTCGTCCAGAACAAGGAAATATGTCAGTACACAGAAGTCTTCATGGAACAATCCTGGTTTGCTAAAGCTTACATTATATCAGAAAGCAGTAAAGTGAGAAAGTACATCTGGGGTTTAGAGCCTAATCTCCGGAAGTATGTGATATCCAAGAATCTGACAATATTTCAAGCAGCAGTTGACGCTGCCGAGATACTGGAACAAGACATCAATCGACAACCACAAGAAAGTGTAGGAGATAAAAGAAAAGGGGAAGCTGCAATGACTGATTTCCGTAGACCAAGGTTTATGGAAAATTTGAATCGACCAGTTCCGAAGTTTGCTGATAGGGCATGTACACGATGTCATAAGATACATCAGGAAAATTGCAATACCGTGTCACATGTATGTTTTAAATGCCAGGAACCGGGACATATAGCTCGAGACTGTCGAATGGTGCGAAGATGTTTTACTTGTAATTTTTCTCAACATGTCAATGCTGATTGTCCACAAGTTAAGGGATGAGGGTTTGGTTTTCCTAGAGGTCGAGGATCTGGATATTCTGGGGGCTGAAGAACTGGTTATGTTCCAACAGGTCGTGGGTAAGTGGAAAACCATGTTAACCCAAGTGGTCGAGGAGAGATAAGACATGGGGAGTCAAATACTAAAGGGAGAGCCTTTCAGATGACGAGAGGCGAGGCGGAAGAACATCCTGAAGTGGTGACATGTACCTTTCTTGTTAATTCAGTTTGTGATAAATGTTTTATTTGACTCGGGTGCAAATCGTTCTTTTGTATAACCATCGTTTGTTAACTACGCACATTTAGAATCTAAAGCGTTAAGTGAGGATTTAATTGCGAAAACAGCAAACGATAGTGAAGTTTCGGCTAAGGAAAGGATAAATGAATGTTTCATAAGTATAGAAGGGTGTGAGGTGCCTATACAATTATTTCCTTTTCCTTTAAGAGAGTTTGATATAATTATAGGCATGGATTGGTTAGCTAAGAACTAAGCCAACATAGTMTGTGATGAAAAGATGATTCATATAGACTTACCAGAAAAAGGAAGGTTGTAATTTATGGGGACCGACGAGATTGCTACTCCAGTCTTATCTTAGTCTTAAAGGCTCAGAAATATGTACGGAAGGGATGTACTAGTTTTCTTGCCTATGCTATTGACATCAAGAAAGAGAAAGAAAAGATGGAGGATATCCCAGTCGTGAGGGAATTTCCAGAAGTATTTCCAGAAGATTTGATAAGTCTACCACCGGATCGAACGATAGAATTTCAAATTGAATTACTTCCTGGAGCAGCAACCATTGCACGTGCACCATATAGATTGGCTCCTTCTGACTTAAAGGATTTAATGTCTCAATTAAAATAATTGTTGGATAAAGGTTTTATCCGACCAAATACTTCTCCATGGGGTGCGCCGGTGCTGTTTGTAAAGAAGAAGGATGGATCAATGAGAATGTGCATTGATTACCAGAAGCTGAATAAATTGACAATAAAAAATAAGTATCCTCTTCCAAGAATTGATGATTTGTTTGATCAATTAGTGGGGGCTACTTATTTTTCGGAAATT